CCCCCCCCCCCCCTATTTCGTAGCGTGTTCCACAGCCATGTTTAACATGCGCCCACGTGACATTTCACTATCCTCATCGTGCCTACGTGTCTTTCTGCGGACGGACGCGCAAACCGATTACATATAGACAGATATGTATGAAATCTAACGGTGGTGTAGTGGCAAGTGGCGCACTTCACACACGCATTGTCACGGATTCAAACCCCGGATCGAACTCCTCCTAGGCCGACCAAGCCTTCCATCCCTCCGGGATCGGTGAATTAGTACCAGACTCATCTGGGAGGATAAAAGCGCTGACTCTGACATGTTCGTTGTATAGGCCACATACGCATTGAAAACACCACTACGATTCTCAATTGAAGTCGAATGCGTGGGTGCATCCCTCGGACGGGATTGATTAACGCCAGAATTTTTATCCTTTTATCCCTATGTATGGGATCTGGCTTCGTAGAGGAAACACATCAAGCTTGTCTGCATTCAGCCGCATTTCCCTAACAGCAATTACGAGATCCTAGAACTGGGTAGCATAAGGTGGCAGCGATGGCTGTACTTCTTCTCGAGCGGCATACTCATCAGATTCCAAAGCTCCCTTTAAGGGTACATGCTTGGTGTGGTCTGCGGAAATTCTTGAGAGGACTTCACGACGCGATAGGAGTTGGAGGAGTATACAGGATTTTTTGTGGCACGCAGTGGTGTTATCCCACAATACAACAGTGAAACAGTGATGTTGCGGATTTCTTAAGTTGTGATATTCGCAGAAGGTGTTCTACAAATGTTTCGCGTGTTTCTTCACACGTTTCTAACTTCTGCAACGTTTGAGAAACGCAGTAAGATATTCACAATATACTTATGTGCTAGGTACTAAAATCGCAAGCATTTTCTTGCAAGCCATTTTCGTAATTTTCAATTGCAACCTAGGATTCATGCTGTTCAGATATTCTGGATTATGGGAGCCTAACGTCGAGACGCGACATCTGAAAGGTCTTGGCGCCAATGGAAGCCTCGTGTTCGACGACGACGTATACCCTCGGTGGCACCGCTAGGATATATTTATCGACGCTTTCCGTTCCATATCATCTTTTCACTCTCCTTCATCACTACACCCTGGTTATGCATTCGAAAATCGCTGAAAACCTTTGTGATCAGCTACTCCTCTCCCACGTGAACAGGTGGTGTAATGGTAACAACCCGTTCATTCTCTCTGTGGGACACAGGTCGCTGTTCATTCTGCGCGAACTCTTACATATTCAATCTAGCTTTCTTCCAATGGATGCCTGAAGCTATGTGAATCCCAATTTAAAAGTTTGAAGATGATTGACTAGCTGCACAAGTAATTCAACCTCTAGTCCGCTACATTGGCGCAGATCTCGCTGTAGAAATTTCGAAGGTTGCCTTTATGGCACTAAGTGATATCTAGTCATTTTTCCGTTCAGCTTCCGGCAATAGCGATTATCTACTGCTGCTGTTTTCATCATAGATTGTGCGGTGTGGTGTTAGTGCTTTACTAGGAAATGCATTACCATGGAATGCCTCACCTCCTTCTTTCTCATAGATCTGTCATTCTATCGTACTTCATTCAATTACATTAGCAGTGCAGTCAAGCCCAGCACCTAAGTCACGGTGTATTTTTACGGCGTACAAAAAGGAACGAATGATTATTATAGCGATGGCCAGCAAAGTGACATGGAACTTGATCTCTGGTTGGGGTATCGTTTTCAAGTATGGTCTACCTTCTCACTCTCATTTTGCTAGGTTTTTGAGTACACATTTCTCCGCCAAGCGTGACTTTACATATTTGTACATAATGCTCACTAGATTCGATTCTTTGGGCCAAAACGCATCATGTTTCGCTGATCTGCCTTTGAAGTTCATTCGTTTTGCAAGTTTCATTCATACTGTTTTTTGTGATTTTCGATCAGCGACGTTGCCGGTTTCAGATAGGATGGTTATGTAGATACGTGTAGCACTTGAGAATGTATTCTATTTATTGCCAGCGCTGATAAATAAAGTGTCGCAAGGGATCTTGTACAGTTGCAGGGACCGCTATCAAAGAAAGGATATTACCTATTAAGTTATAAAAAAATATTTGTTATGATGTAAGTAGATATTTGAACATATATGTCATCAAGGTTTATGCAAAATGGTTTAACAGAGCTTTATTTTGCTTAACTTTTACAGCCCTTAACCCTATCGTCAATCATAAGACCTTCCGGAACCCTTTCACACAGACGAAACTGGTTGGAAATCCAATTAAACCAGCTTTTTGAATTTGTAATTTGCAAGTCGAGACGCGACACCTGAAAGGTCTTAGCGCCATTGGAATCCTCGTGTCCGACGACGACGTATACGTCGTACTTGATCTTTCTGTCTTGCATCATGAGATTTTCGGTACCGTTTCCGATGCCCTCGCGCATTTAAAGTAGAGATTACCATTTTAGACTTACTCCTTTCGGGCACTTCTTATGTTATGGTTCCAAGATTCAGCAACCCCTCCAAAGCAACAGAGAGAGCTTCCGTTCCTTAAGTCCGTTTTTTGAGATCGCAGTGGGCGCTGTCCACTGCGCTCTCAAAAAACTATTTAGCGAGATTATTCAACCGAGACTCTCTTCAAGACTTACTGGGAAATTTGAAACGAACAATTATTTTCGCCATGAACCTGCGACGCACTTTTGCATACTTTTTTTGCATCACATAATCTGAGCCTCTTAATGAGCGCAAAGCAGACAATGATGAAGTGATGTGCCAAAAGAGGTCTTTAATGAGGGGACGACCAGCCTAACAGTCAGAAGGGGATTCAGCCATTTATCATCAGAGTTTCATATGATTCATGGTGTTCAAAGGACCACAACCATTATAGTGAGGCACTCCGTATTGATAATATTTCATTCACTATGACTTTACCAAATTCGGTCTACTTGCGGAACATATCCGATCTTCCTAAGCAACCTCAACAGACTACACGGAAATGATTTTATATCATAAAAATGAACCATAAAACAGCATAAATAATAAATGAAAACCTTTCTTTCGTTCGTGACTATTTTCAGGCTACATCAAAGCTGATTATCACTGCA